AGGCGAATAAACATATTGTCCCAGCGATCGAGTCTTCTTCTTCTTCTCGATTTCGGTTACGCTGAAATGCATTTTAATGGACGGCAAACCGAGACATGGGCATTTGACCGCGTAACCAGAAATGAGATATAACTTATGCCCTGCATTTTAGCATATGTGCACACTAAATAAAATAAATACGTCATTAAATAGGGGAAGAAGGCAATTGTAAGTAAATACACCCAAATCATTCCAATGAGCATTACCTGTCCAGGCTTCCTTCCCCACGATGAGAGCCTTCAGCAGGTCAGCGGACGGCGCGATCGTGGTACCAACATAGTAACGCGCGCGCAGACGTTTGAAGAACTCAGCATCCACCAGCCGAATATCGCCGCCACCCGGCAGGAAAGCGACGTCCACAAAAGTGGTACGAAATTTGTCATAGGCGACCTTGTTGGGGCCCAGGGTGACGTTGGAGGCCTCATAGTAACCCTCTACTTGCGCCTTCTGTGTCGATGGTGCTAGGCTGTTTCTGGCTGTTCTGGCTAAAAAGAGAGATAGGGGGAGGGTGGTATAGAATAAACGTACTTGTATGCAGACAAAATACACAATTAGGGAAGTTTGCTAGCCGAGCATGAATAAGCAGAATCTTGTGAATTAGTTTCAGGTGTTAAACACAGGCGACAGTCCGCTGCTCACTCACTAGCACGACAGGATTTCATTGTAAGAAGATTCTCTGAACACAGTCCACAATGGGTTTGGGAGGCTAAACGGGTGAATTGGTTTCCAGACAGAAAAGGCGACGGAAGATTACGTCTGAAAGAGTCACTTTTTAAAAAAAAAAAAACAACCCTGCTTTCCTTGTTTATTTACCTGACGTAAGAGCTACCTACATCTGTCGTCCAATTAAAGTAGGACCTGGTAAATGTGATGTTCACCTCGTCTGACTTGATCAAATCCGAATGTTATGATGGGAGGAAGGAAGCTTAGTTGATATGAAGGCGCAAGCGATATATTCCCTAACAATCCTTGACACCCTCGGACCCAAATTGGCCACTGGCAAACAGAGGCTCGACATTAGGTAAGACAGTTAACACTTCTGTGATTTATAGCCGAAAGTAAAAAAGGCAAGCAGTTAGTCAGTGACACGGTTTCGAAATTTAACTCTACCAGGTTATAACGCAGCGGGCTAGATTGGGTGAAACGA